CTGCCTAGGAGGCTTGGGCATAACTCATGGACGCTTCCATAGGATAGCATCCCTAGGTCTCCGATTTGGATCAGTTTCTGCTTCCCCACCTCCACCCCTTGGTTTAAAAAGATTGATTGATTGATTGATTGATTGATTGATTGATTGATTGATTGATTGATTACTTGATTGTATTTCTCTGGAATGAGGTTCCTCCCAAGATTCAGACGGCCTCACCCTACTGGTATTTTGAAGATGTGGCTCTTTGCCTAGGCCTTTGGCGAGGATGACCCTTTCTTCCTTTCCCTTGTTTTCTTTGCCATCTTTGTATTTTGTGCTGTTTTTGAGTTTTTGTATTGTTCTTTGTTTTGAAATGTTTTTAACAATTATAAAGAATTGCTGGGAGTCAGGTGGCATATCAATTTAATGATTGATTGATTGATTGATTGATTGAATTAATATGGCTGCCCAACTCAAACAGTGTGACTCTGGGCAGCTTACAGGAAACAGCCAAGATGATGATGATGATGATGATAGTAATAGTAATAAATGATTCTTTATTATTCACATTCATACTCTCTCCCAGTGGGAACTTACTTATCCCAGCCCAAATGCTCAGGGGAATAGCCACATTTTTAAGGCCTTTAGGGGAACTGAACATTGATAAGCAGTTCATTCCAAAGGGCAAACACTGCTACAGAAATATTGAAATGCATTATAAGAATTGACTGATAATTATTAATAATGTCTTATTTATTCATCACCTTACAATCTGCCCTCTCTTCAGAGATCTCAGAACAGCGCACTTCAGAAATCAGAATCTGCAATGGCTGTGGCCCCAAAACCTCTAATCAGCTCTAGTCAGTAGATATTCAAGCTTGGGTTTCTATTACACAAAGGAGAAATTCACAACCTGAAGCCTTAGGGTCTACACAAAGTCATGAAAAGCTTTGGTGAAGCCTCCAGAAATTTCCAGAAGTGTTGCCAAATTTATTTTTTTAATGGGGAACCAGGGAAGGAAGTATGAAGCACATGACTGGAGATCAACCTTACTAATTTAATTTAATTTTAAATATATGTAAATGAAATGAAATGAAGTTTAGTTTTTATTCTGGCCTCATCAACCACTATTTGGAGGGCACTGTTTGGCATGTTACTACGGCCATGTGGTCCTTCTGATCTAGAGCTTAGTTTCTTGGCTTTGTAGACATTGCTGGACTACATCTTACAGCATTTTTCACTGCCGGTTGTGTTCAACAACATCTCGGAATCGACATATTTTCTCCCGTTCCTGCTCTAGGATGTCATTCTGCTGGAATAGCAGATGCAGAACATGTGGCCCCCCAAGTATTGCTGAATTAGAACTCACAGCAGCCCAGCCATCATCATTCAGCTATTTCTGGAAAAAAAACAGGTTCCTCAACTCTCTACCAAACAGTACTGATTCTCACCTGGAGCATCCTGGTCTTAATTCACTGAAAATCCTCATATTTCTCTCTTTCAAGCCATGTCATAGATTTGCACATTGCATGCCTCTTTCGTATTCCAGTTATTTGACCAGGAAGATCCCTGTTGTCATAATGTGTAATCTCCTTGTGTTCTTTTGCTGTAGGTTCCGAGAAAGACTCTTTGTACAAACTGGAAGAGAAGAATAACTCCAGCGATATCTCAGTAAGCACAAGTACTGTTCTTATCCTCCAGTTCCAAAATTGTGGACCATTGCTTCTGCTCAGTTCCGTGCCCAGGACCTAGTTTTACTACATTTTCATCTTTGCATGGAACGGCAGAATACACTGGAGCTGAATCATTGCCTTCACCTTAAATCAAATATGTCATGGTGATGATGTAGATGACACAATTATGTTAATTGTGTAATAATGTCCTTATGAACATGATGTAAATCACAGTGGACTTTGGTCTGCTTCATGCCAAGTCTGTTGCATCGAGATCTGAAAAATTGAGAGTTTGCTATATAATAATATTATACAATATCATAGTAAAATAATACGAATGCAAGATTTTGCAAAAGATGAAAAGAGAAAATGGGTATTCTTTTCAGAGGGTGGCCTATTACCTCCAATGTTCTCAAAATATTTTAAACCAAAGGCCTTTTGTTTCATCTCTCATTTGCAAAATGCTATCGTGGGAACAAGCTTGAAATAAGATATATAGAAAATTTACTACCTTTACAAGGACCTCTGCTGACAGTTGAGCTGGGCTACAGCTAGAATAGAAGGCCTGCCTTGTGCCAAAGTTGCTTCCTAGCACTGGAGAAACTGAATGGAAAGCAACATAGAAGAAAACAGATTTCAGAATAACAGCTTCATTATTACTCGGACCCCAGTGCTGTTTCCTCTTTTGCCCTGGTTCATTTCTCCAGAGTTTCCAAGAAAAGGTTGCATGCTTGTTCTTAAGATAAATGGTCTGTACAATGTTCCATTTACAATGGAATGTACAATCTTCCATTTATGTGCTATTTGAGAATCTTTTGAAAAACTAGAATCTTATTTTTGCAAATAATGTGGTCCTGTAAAGAGAGATGTTCCCTTCATTTCACAAAAGGGTAACAGTCCTGTCAGGTCCCAGTCATGGCTATACTTTCTGACATTTATCCTGCACAAAGATTCAGATATTGAATTTGTTCAGAACTAGAATTCTAAACTTGGAATTAACTGTGTTACACATATGTCTATCCCGATGTAACTCCAAATAACAGCCATACCCTTTTACAGCATTTCACATCTGCAAAAACCCTCTCTCATTTCTCTGGCTGTAAAGGAGATGGGAGGAGAATTGTACTTTCTGACTTGCAAGGTTCTGTTCATGTAACCTTAGAATAAAGTAGAATTAACTGATTTGGTCATGTTTCCTGTCTGGTCTACCTGGGAAGGCTGACATACACACGGTCACTAGAAGTCTTTTGTATGGCTTCATAACTTTCCTACAGTAAAACTCTTTAACAGAAGTTTCTTAGGTTTTGTAGGTCTGTTTAGTTGGTGGTCTGCCAGGAGAAGCCTGGTGGAACTTAGAAGGGGTTGGTTGTATCCTGTGGTGACTCAGTCCTTCTTTCTACAGAGCAACCCTGAACTGTGTCCTATGGAAAAGGCTCCTGGAAGTGCACCAGCCAGCACAACAGGAGGGGCTGAAAGCCCCCTGGATGCCATTTGCCTCAGTGAATCTGATAAGATGGCTGTTCTGACTCTGATCAGAGAAGAGGTAACAGCCTGATGATGGGATGTGGTCTGGATGTTAGTAATTTGGGGGCTTTTCTCTTGGAGTGTGCAAAATTTTCAAGAGGTGCTCTGTCAAGGGACAAGTGAAGGGCCTCTCTTTTTAAGGGAAAACTTGTGTTCTTTCAGAGGCTAACATGGCTGTTTTGAAGGTTGTCCCCTGCTCCCTCTATGCCTGTATGAATGCACAGCACCTTTGCTCTGCTTCAGTGGCCAGAGGGTCACAACTGGCCTTTAATTGCAGGTTGGGACAAAAATGGAAATGGGTTTAACCTAATCAGTTTCATTCAGTTCATTAAATATTACTAATTATTCCTGGTGAATTTAATGACTTAGCTTTTTGGAGGGTAGCAAAGGCTGGAGAGGAGAGTTGCATGCAGTCCAAGGGCTGCAATTGGGGTATATTTGGCCCAGAATAGAAACTCCTTGGATTGTCAAGTCATTCATAACCTTTGAATTGTTTGGGGCTGACATAAATGTTTCTGTAACATTGCCAGAGTCCTTTAGGATTGGGGTAGGTAATACATCTTACAAATATGCTAGAAACCTGACCTCCTGCTCCACCATGACCTGTAGAATTAGAATTTTCTGCCTGCCTGTTTCCTTATTTCAAACTTCCTACTTCACTTTGATCTCTGGGAGAATTGCTCCTCAGATCTGGGCCATAGGTCAGGTCTATCCTTGAGGACTGAAGGCTGATGTCAACATTAGCCATACATTTCAAAACTATTAGCGGTGTGATACTAATGGAGCCTGGCCCCATCAGCTATCTCCCAGTTTTAACCAAAGGTTACTTATACTGTTCTGTTGATACTTTTAATTAAGAAAAGTCCTCTTGTAACCAGGGGAGGAAACATCTCATCATCTGACAGGACTTTCCCTAGATGTATCAGCCCATAACTTACATCACTTCTAGATAACCCGGAAAGATAAAAATGTGTAGCCCAGCTTATTTACAAGGCATGTATCTCTTGAGAACATCCAACTAAGCCTCAGACAAAGTCCACAGGTGCATTTGCATGTGAGAAACTTGAAGTACCACTGCCCCACTGCGCATAGTGTGGTCTCTTCCCCTCCCCTTCCCTCCTGACAGCTTCACCACATTTCTTTCAGAGGTGAGAGAACTGCCTTCAGCAGAACTAACAGTTGCATTTTGTATTCATGCCTTTTAGATTATATCTAAGGAAATTGAAGCCAACGAATGGAAGAGAAAATATGAAGGAAGTCGGCAGGAAGTTTTGGAAATGAGGTAAAACAAGAGCAGCGCTAATTCCATATGGTTTCGGATTGTTTACAAGTGTGCAGCTGTAGATCACTACATGAAGTTTCCAGAGAGGAAGACTCAAGTTAATTGTCACCGAATCAATAGCGACTATTCACCAAATTAAGGAATTTGCAATATAATCAGTTGCCATCAGTTACATTAACCTGTAATTTGAAGGCTGCCATGACACTGAAAAATCTGGGCTTTACAATCTGATAGCAAAAACACCACCTCTTCAGGATAATGTATTATGAATTGAAGACTTTGAGGCTGTTTTCCACATAGATAAATATAGAGACAGTGAAACAAGGAGTAAGATCTTCAACCGGCACTGGCACTATCTAGAATCTTTGCACTTGCAAGATTTGATGTGTCTCCTATTGATCATTATTATTGGTGTACTGAAAGAGTTTGCACAAAGTTATTTTTAAGAGGCAAAAGGCTCTCTGAATGTCTGCTCTTGGCTATTCCTCACGTGGAGCACATCTAGAGACTGTGATGGCTCACTTGTCAACCTTAAAATCATATATAAAATAAATCCAGTATTCAGCCCCCACAAAGGTGATTTAACAACAGGGCATATCTATGGAAGGAAAAGAATATAACTGGATACACTATTGAGGGTTGATTTCCATGATTTTGGATGCTTCAATCCTGTGTTGGCCACTAAGAAAAAAGATAAGGAGATCCCAAATCAGCCCCAAAATTATGTTGGAAGAACTTGGGCAGTCACAGTCAATGTGACCCCTCTCACAAGATTCCTGTAAGAAGGAAACTGAGGAAACACCTTTCTTTTGAAAGGAAGAGGTACAAAATTAGACAAATAGGTGAATCAAATCCACCACAGTATACCAGCCTGCTTTGGTGTCATGATTTGAAGGCCAAGCCTGTTGATAGTGAAGCAGGTACACCTGTAATAATTCTTAAATAACCTTTACATGCATTTGATTATGGAAGCTATCTGTAAGGGAAAGACAACAGGATTTGATGTTTGACATTCCTTTTCCAATCTGGTGCCTCTTCTGATATGGTGGGTTAGAACTTCTAGAACTGGCATGTCCAGTCATCTAGCAGCAGGGCAATGAAGCTGGCCTACCTAGGAATATATTGAAAAGAAATGGCTGGAAAGGAGAAGATGCCCAAAGCATCTGGGTTTACTGGAGAAGGAAAGGATGAACAACACTTCTGTTTCTCATATCTTTACTTCTGCCTCCTCTTTAGGAAGATTGTGGCTGAATATGAGAAGACAATTGCGCAGATGATAGGTAAGCAACTGCCAAGTGCCAAATATTCACCTGAAAATTAGTGGGAGGAACAAAATAAGGAAGTCAGCATGTTCAAGTTCACACCTGCTTGCAAACATTCAGCCCGATAGTTATTTTAGAGCTCTTTCTTGTGCTTATAGAGTTTCACCTCTTTTTTCCTCTAGTCCATGATGTGCGGAAAGTGGAAAGAGACCTATCACTATATATACTTGTGATCCCTTGGCTGTGGATTATGTAGGTGGACTAGAGATAGGAGAGAGCTAAGAGTGGGAAATGGTGGGATGGAGGAGAACCATCTGCTCCAATCAAAGGTAGAGGGTTTTTTAAAAGTATGATTTAAGAACCGTTCCTATGACTTGAGTGCATGACTCAAGCTTTTCAGGTGGTAGCCTGGATTTTGTTTTATCAGCACTGTTAGAACTTGAAGGAAGGGCTAAATCTATAGCTTGTAAATATACATTGCAAGTTTCCCAACCCTTTCTGTCAAATATTAGTGTGGGGCGTTAAGCTTCCAGAGGAACCACACTTAATTGCTTTTAATTGTGAAGATACAATTGGAAGTGTATGAGTGACGCCTATTGAAATCTCAGAGTTGATTTGCTGAAGATTTTCCGTAGGACCCCAGTCCTGTAAGGAGCCCTGCTCTTTTCCATAAATGGCAGAAATATTTCTGAATATTCAAAAATGTTCCAAACTGAATTCTATAAATCGATGATTTGTTCTTATTTTGGGGAGCTGATTTTTTTCCAGTGCTTCTAGTACATACGATCTGTACTTGGAATGCTCATATTTGTAACAGAAAATATATTCTCTGCTCTCTCAATCTGTTGCTCATAGTATAGCTACTCTCTTTGATGGAAAGGTTTCTAGAGATGGTTACTTTTATCTTTAGCTAATGGCAAAATGCTGAGTCTGAAAAGATTTTGTAGGCCTTGCAGTTTGGACAAAACGTTTTCAGCAACTCAGCTAAAACTTGTCTTCGTCCCCCACTCTTTATATGGGCCTCTCAGATTGTGGAATTAAAGTGGGAGAAATTCCTAGCTTGCGGATGAACAAGCTAGAGCCCCAGCATCCCATTTGCAGCCCCCCACTCCCCAAATGTCCCTTTTCTCCCTGTGGGGGGTGTTAATGGGTGAAACGGGTACCTTAATTCTTGCAAAGGCTGGAAGCCCCAGTTGCATTCCTTAGAAACCTGAAATTCCCTGAACAAGCAACCTAATTTTTTTCTGTTTTGAGGGTGGTTTGATAGGTAAAATCCGTCTCTTTCCCAAGACAGCCACCAGATGTGGTGGATTTCCACTTCCAGAATTCTCAGCAATAGTCATGTAGATATACAAAGTAGGGAGTTGAAGTCCACACATCTGGACGGTCCCCACATTTTGGAAGGCTGGCTTTAAATAGATACTTTGCCTCTTAAAAACCCCCAAAACCCCCAATAGGAAAATACAAACAGCTAAATATGTTGGCTCCACTCACTCTAGTGGCATCATGTTCCCTGCAACCCATAAAGGAAAGCGCACCCTGAAGCTGAACGAGGTTGCTCTCTTCTGCCCTACTTGATATCTGTTAGCTATAGGCCTGTCGAGTTAGAGGTATCATTCTCTTTTGCCTTTGAATTCACAGAGGATGAACAGAGAACCAACATGGCATCTCAGAAGAGTCTCCAACAGCTGACAATGGAGAAAGAACAAGCCTTGTCTGACCTGAATTCGGTGGAGAGGTCTCTGTCCGATCTATTCAGGAGATATGAGAACCTGAAGGGAGTCCTGGAAGGTTTCAAGAAGGTCCTTTTTTTTTGTTTAAAAGTCCCTTTTTCCTCCTTCCTTGTTAGCCTGAGACCTGGGGTTTTCCTTCACTGAAGGCCATGGGTGCACAATTTAAGGATCCCCAGTGTGTTGATTGCAGCACTAGAGTTCTTCTAAAACCCTCTGTCAACATGTTGTTTTTAATGTGACAGAAGCATAGAAATGTGGAGAGTAATCACATTAGGTGCTCTTAACAAATTTAATTGAATTTGAAGTAAGTTTTAATTGCATGAGATCAAATGTAGGTTTTGTACCAGTCCTCTTTTTTGCTCTGTCCTGGCCCTGTCTACCTTCTGGAGACTGCCCATATGAACACTGTTCTCTGGAGTTACCAAGATGCAGTCATGGTCTTGATGGAGAGGAATTGTGGTTCTGTGCTAAAACGTTAGCTTTGCTTGCTTGCTTCTTCTGCTATGTCAGCCAGGTGATGGGCAATGGGAAGGATCTCTGCCAAAGAAGTTCTATCTGTTGGAAGAATCAGTATTAGATAATATAGAACAGATAGGCTGGGTTCACACATCACTCCACTCCATGGTTTATCAAAATATGGTCCGTAGAATAAACAAAGTTGGATTCATCCATAGAATGTGCTATGCCAAAACAAATCACACTGTCACTACCTGGAATATGTCCATCCCACCTCTAACTGATGGTGCGAGGACTTCTGGTGTTCCTCCAACCCTAAGGAGAATGGCTGTAGATCTGGAATGAAACATATCTCTGTATATAAGACCCCATGTTCTGCTTCCTGAATCATTGGTTAAAGGTCCTCAAGTAGAACTTGCGAGGGGCAGGTTGGAATTCTGTAGTAACCCCAAAATGTGATTTGTTGGCTTTTTGCAGTGGGTGCATCCAAGCATTGTGGTTTCTAAACCATGATACATAGCCAGGTCAGGGGTGAACATGTCTTGTCAACTTAAGGACCATACTGACTTTGGGACATGTTGAGGGCAGCACTTGAAAAGTTGGCAGGGCTAGGGCCCAGTTTAGGAAGATATTTTTTTTAAGGGAGAAAAATGGGATGTTAAAGGAGATTGTATAATGTGAAGGGGTAAAACAGTTACCTTATGCTTCTTTAAGGCTTAAGGAATCTATTTTGCCCCTTAAACCCTCTAAATCTCTTCAGAATTAAAACTTTTGGCTTCACTGTGGATGGGGTCTAGGGACCCCAAAAAGATTCCTGACAGGCCACAAATAGCCTCTGGGTGCCGCTTCATAGAATCATCAGGTTGGGAGGGACGTTGAAGGTTGTCTAGTCCAACCTCCTGCCCAGAACTAGAATCCTCAGACCATCCCACACAAGTGGCTGTGCACGTTCTGCAGTTCTGCTTCAAATGTTACGTCAGTTGTGGTGCATTCAGTAAACTCTGTATAATAAAACCATAACTTAACCTAACGTGTCAACCCCAGACACCTCTGAGTGATACTTTTGTATTTACTTCCTGAAATAATAATTAGCAACTGTGGAAATGTAGACATATAAAGCTGTTTAGTTTCAGATCCTGCAGAAGGACAAAGAAGTTATCTGGTTTTCCTCCATTTTTAAAAATGATTAGGGTTTTTAAAAAAATTATAACTGTTTTTAAATGAACTGCTTAAGGTTCTCGTAATGTCCTTCTGAACTGCATCTCCGGCAACTTTCTGATGATCAAGAGATGCAGGTTTTTTAAAAAAAATAAGATATGTGATACACATCTGAGGTTTTTCTTTCCTCTGACTTTTTTCTTCTAGAATGAAGAGGCGTTGAAGAAGTGCGCCCAGGACTACCTCAATCGGGTCAAGCAAGAGGAACAGCGCTATCAGGCCTTGAAAATCCATGCAGAGGAGAAGTTAGATAAGTAAGCCCCATAAGGACAGTTTCCCTGCATCACCCCAATCCAGAATAGAATACGACATGCAAAAAAGGAGCTGTGGAAGTTTCAGATTTGCATGCCTCCCCCTGGACATGACTCTTCTTCTCCTATGACCCAGAGGAGAAAAGAGCCAGAATTCAGTGGTTTGATGTTACATGGGAACAGGGAATCGGGATGTTCAATAAATCACAGAACTTTTCTTTTTACATCCCCCCTCTCTCTTTTGCCCCTGTGCCCCCTCCCCTTTGTTCTAGAGCCAATGAAGAAATTGCTCAGGTGCGTACTAAGGCCAAAGCTGAGAGCGCAGCTCTTCATGCCGGACTCCGGAAAGAACAAATGAGGGTCGAGTCTCTTGAAAGGACCCTCCAGCAGAAGGTGATTCCCCATCATCCCCCTATGATCTCTTTCTCTACTTCACTTGCTTTCCCTGCTGGAGAAAATTGTCTAAAATTCACTCTACATTTGTCCTGGAATTGGATCAAGGTGATGACTTTTATAGTTCAGAATATTCAGCCTTGATGGGGCTGTACCACCTCAGGCACACCTAGGGGGTTGAATCACTCAACCTTTCCCTTGATGTTGCTAGCTTTTGTTGTGTGTTTGTGTTGTTATGTCTAGCAAATGAATTAAACCTCAAAAGTTCAAAAGTTATTTATGAAAACACATCATAAGAAAGTACCCAAACAACTGAATAGCAACACAAACATATTTGTTAAAGGCCCTTGGGAATAAAAATATTTTTGCCTCCTGGCAGAAAGATAACAGAGAGGGAATCTGCCTGACCATCTAAGGCAGTGTTTCTCAGCCTTGGCAACTTGAAGATGTGTGGACTTCAACTCCCAGAATTCCCCAGCCAGCGTGGGAGTTGAAGTCCACACATCTTCAAGCTGCCAAGGTTGAGAAACACTGATCTAAGGAGAGGAGGTTTCAAAACCAAGGATCTACCACCAGGAAGATCCAGCCATGCATTCCCATCAAACATCTTTCTGATGATCATGAGCTTAAGAGAAGGCTTTTCCCCCAGACCTTAAAAGCCTGGGTTAGAGTCAGAAGCCATTTCAGCAATACAGAGCAGGTGCGAAACCTACACACTGTGATTTTAGAAGTTGTAAGTAGACAAATGTAGGAGAGTATGGAGCTAACCTTGAAGAAGGAATGCAAGAACAGTTAGGTAAACATAAATTTAGCCCCGGGAATGAAGAACATGTGAGAAAGAAACTCAAGATAAGCCCACCTTGATTCTCTTTGGTATAAGAGGGAAATTGTGTCAAGCTTTCACTTTTCTATTATACCCTATGACGAGAGAGTTCCAGTAGTCCTTGTGTTGTCTCTTTCTTGACCTGATCTACCTCAAAGAGCTGACAATTTGGAAAGCAACACATTTGTAATGTGTCCTATATGGCCACAGTGACAAATGCCTTATGACCCATTCTGATTGTATTATGTTGTACCTAAGGCTATCTATGGTGTTGGAAACTTAGCTGATTTAGAATGCAGCAGATCTTCTGACTGATTTTGGGACAGAATGATTCTCTTGATGAAACAGGTCTAGCAGCTACTGGACTTTTTCTAGACACAATTCAAAGTGCTGGTCATCATTAGTGCTGTGCAGAAATTTCCCCCTGCTTTTCTTTCAGTTCCCATTCCATTTGTTTTTCTTGGGTTTTAAGCATAAGCTACCTGGATGAAAAAATAGTGGGTAAAAAGGGCTTCTGAATGCCTTTCAGCCAACTTCCACTGAAACCCTATTTTATGTCAGCTTTAGAGAAAAGGATTGTATAAGAATTCCTTACTTAAATGGTTAAGAAACTTTTGCCTACAGTATTTCTTGGGGAATGTAGTTGGGAAGCAGATGAGAGCTGCTTTGGTTTCTGAATCACCGCTGGGTCACTATATTTTTCATCTGCACTTCCTGTTTTCTTGTGACGCATGAATAAATACAAAGCACCGCATGCTGTCTTTAAAATGCAATCAAAATACTTCAGTGCAGAGTTTAATAATTGCAGACAACTGAGGAGTTTGAAAGGTCATCTTCATGGAACGAAGCTGCAGAAGAAGTCTCACAACTCTCTGCCTAAATGAAGGCTTTAAATAAAATATTGATTAAACAGAAACAAAATTTAAATTTAAAAATACAAGATTATCCTCATCTTCCCAGCTATGTCAGTTCACACTGAAAACTGAGCTCCAGAAAATTTGGAAATTAGACCAGCCTCCCCCCCCCAGTTATCAAAGATGGAGACTGGGCCTCCACAGATTTTTTTTTTTCTTGCAAGTTACTTCTTTGTGTCTCATTCAAAGGTGATGGTGGGAAACATGTTGCAGAACCAGTTCTGAGCTTTGAGAACACTCCCACCACGTACAGTAGCGCTAGACTGGGGACATAAATAATTTGGCTGCATTTTGTACACTGTATGTTGAGGAGAACTCACATCAGGAGAATGGGTTGGACTGGATGTCATGCGCTATGGGAGTGATACTGGTTTGCACCATCAGAGAAGGTTCTGGGTAATCAGCACTTCACTTCTAGCTTTATTTGCCTTATTTGTTTGTTTGTTTGTTTATTTTCCAGAACCAGGAAATTGAAGAACTGACAAAGATCTGTGATGAGCTGATTGCCAAGCTAGGAAAGACTGACTGATGACCCAATGTTATCATCTGGGGCGCCACACTTGGTTTCTTCCTGCTGTCTGTCTCTATCTTCCAGCAAACATCTTGCCTTATTTTTCCAGAAATAATCTTTTCCCCCTTCACGGCAGCAAGAAAAAGCACATGCTTCTGTATCAAAGAACTACCACCTGCAAGAGGAGTGAAAAATGCCCTATTTGTACTCATTTCCTGCAGTGTAGTTTAGACCTTCCTGCCTGTTCAGTGTTTGCAGGCTGTCCTGGCTGCATGAAGCCAACAGATAGACGCAGGACACGTGTTAGAGATGTTGATAGCTTTGCACAGAAGAGTTTCTGCACTTGGTTGACGCCTTGGCCCACAGAAGCTGCTGCATCGGTGCCTCAAGGACAGTCACCTAAGGAAAGAGCAGCGTTGCAGATACTTCAGTCTGAAGGCCAGAAAGTGAAATTGCAGCTTAATTGAATCGATGTTCTCCTGCATGCACTAGTATCATCCCAACAAAGGCACGAGTGGAATACAACAAGGGACAAAGCTAATGTAGATGCCACTGTTCCTCAAGGGAAGATGCCCAGATTCCAGATGAAAATTGATTGGCTTTCCCGGGAGCATGGCATCTTTGCAAATTGCAGTCAGCAACAAAGAAAAGAAACCCTCCCTCTCTTGATCATCAACACAGATAATGGGCTTGAGGCACATGGTGTCGGAAGCTTTGTAGATTTGAAAGTATGGGCCGTGATCAATCAGTAAGCCCAAAGGCAGCCTTCTTAGACCCGAGGGGCCACGAGATGTGTGGATTTTGAGCTTAACAGTATTCCCAGCAATGGTCCTGCCAGCTGAGGGAGTCTTGGATGCTGGAGTCTGCCCATCTGAAAAGATGGGGAAGGTTAATATAAGGTCCGCAAGTCTCTTAAAGAAGTATGGCCAGCTAGTTTTCGATTTGTCTTTCTGTTAGTGCACTTTAAAGCCATGGCCAGAGTGTAGTGATCCACAGTCCACCAGAAGAGGGCATGCACAAAGTGAACTTGGAGTGAAGGCTCTTCCAAAATAGTAAGAGCAGCTGTTACAAATCCCCAGATACACACACACACACACACACACACACACCATTCACACCATTCCTTGTCTTAGCAGTTTTCTCTGCTGCACAAGGAACGGAATGGAGTACAATGGAAAGCAAGTGAAGAAATAGAAGTCAAACTTCCTTGCACCAAGTTCTGATGGCTGAAGCTCCTTCCCATGCCTCATAGAGGTTTCCTGAGAATTTGATATAATTTCAAATCTAAAATGACTTGCAAAAAACATTCCCCATTCCTTGCAGTTGAGATAACTGAAATGGAGATCTGTCTAGGAACCGCAATTGTCCTGGCAAGTTTTGTGGTGACCACAAATGTTTATCAGACAGATTCCTGCCTTTCAGCATTCAGGCCCAAGACCTTTTCACATTTCCCCCCTTTTTGGTGACCCACTGAACCACTGTGATTAGTTCAGTGAGGGATGCTCAAAAATTCATCCTTCAAGAGGCCCCAAGTTGCCCCAGTCCAGATGTTGAAGCTGCCATGCCCAGAATTGAGAATCGTAATTGTAGCACACCTGAAAGGTGCCAATTTGAGGTGGCAGGTGTGAACATTTCTGGTACCATGTTGGCACTGGCTTCTTGCATACTCTGGCTGTATCAAGTCAACAGGGGAGATTTTTCTCTGCCTGCAGATTCAAGGCTTGCAATGATCAGCTTTTGAAATTCGTAGCACAGTTCTGCATGCAGTCTTTCTGTAGAAAGGGAGTTCCAGAGATCAAGCCATGCTATGGATTGTTGGCTTTGCTTCTAAAGAAGCCATCATGTGTGGAGAGAAGCTGCATAAGGAGGGGGACTGCATTTTGGGGGGCTACCCAAATGATCCATGCCTCCGCCTTGCAACCTCCCAAACATGTTGCAAGGGTTTTGTGCTACTTTTTCCAAGCTGTTGCTCTCCAGAAGTGTTGTGTGACAATTTCCACTATTCCCAGCCAGTGCTAGCTGGAGATGACTGGAATTGTGGTGCGACACATCTAGAGAGGATCCAGTAAGAAGCTTCTAGCCTTCAGAGAAGCAGAATGAAATCTCTCTCATCTGACCAATAATGCAAACCCCTCTTTCTGAGGAGGATTGGCGTGCCATTCTGAAGAGGAGCTTCACTTGCAAGCTTCTCTGAAGCCTTTTTCTCTCACTGATGTCTCACATGGTTATCTTTCAGTTGAAACTCCTCCTCTTCTGCACTTTGCTGTCACACATCATTGGTGCACTACCATGCTGCTGCTTCCCAGTGAAATGCTATTGTGGAACAGAGCTGGGATACAATCAAGTGTTTATACTAGGCCAAATTTCTTGGGCCCAGAGCTCTTGAGATCATGGAGTCAGGTGGAAAATTGCTCTAAGGAATGTTACTGAATCCTGAGCTGCTGGGGATAGAGTTGGCTTAACTGCATATCAGACCTGGGTGTGGATCTAGGAGCTCTTGTTGGCATCCTTCTGGCCTATGGAGTAGCATTTGGAAGAGCTGTCTGGCTATCATGGGAGACCTGCTTTCAGTCCCCATAAAACAATCATCCTACAAGTGAGGTGTTGATCACTTTAGCAGGCTGTTTAGTAGCATCCTGCACCTGAATCAAGGATGGAGAGCTTGTGGCCTTCAAGATGTTCAGCTCTGACTTGCATCACCCCCAACTGGCATGGTCAGGAATGATGGGGATTGCATGCAGATGCTGGCCACAGGTTGTCCATCTTTGACTAAAGGAAGGAGGGATCAGAGAAACACAAGGTTTGTCCTGAAAGCACTCCCTGTCTTCTCCTTCCAGAGCTCCATGGTTTAATACCATCCTCCAGCTTTTTGCTGGATGTTCAGTGGTTGCACTTTTGTCTGTGGTGTGTTTTGTGCGGGTGTGTGTCTTCACATGCACACTGTGCCAAATGCTCTCTCGTTTTGTGTGCCTCTCAAGCATGCCACTAAAGGGTGGACAAAGAAGATTCCTAAGGAATGATATTATTAACTATAATATGGTTATTGTAGTTTGTTCAGATATGAAAATTGTGTGTGCGCACATGGGTGTGTATGTGTGTGTACATATGTATATATGTGTGTGTATGTGTGTATATATCTATAGATAGATATATAGATATATAATGGATATAGTTCTATATAGTGCTGGGGTATGGGTGTGTATGTGTGATTGAAATCTGTAGAACTGTTGCACCTCATCTAGCTTTGTGTGGCAAAATGCTACTCAGACTGGCTGCTAATTCTGTCCGTAAAGTCTCCTCCATCTACAGTGATAGCTTCTGCCAATCTCTAAGGTTTTCAAAACTATTTGAAAGAGGAGCACTGCTCTTAAGAATTGCGTGCTTAAAAGCAATACAAGGCGCTGCAGACAACAGACACATTTCCACCAGCACTTGGTTGATCGTGCACTGCTCATACTATGTAGGTGTCACACGAGAGAGGAGCTGCAGGGTTTCTGCAGCAAGCACCCTATTTGTTCCATAATCATTCACGTTGGCTGAAGTCACGCCACCTCACCCTATTCCTGTTTTTGAGCTATCTAAACACCTTAAATAGTTTCTACCACTTAGTTCTGCTGATGGCAGGATAAGCACACAGCTGCAGCCCCATAACTTGCAAGATATATTATAGGTTTAAGATTATCCTCTCGGTGAAAGTGTTCATAGGTATTGTACCCAAGAGATCGCTATCTGTGCCTGGAACTCCAAACTTGAGACGCGAAAGGGAGACGTTTTGATGGCCTCTTCTACATCGCCTTTCCCACCTTGGCCTCTTCCATGTGTCTTGGGATTGTGACTTCCAGAATTACTTAGCCTTCTAGGTTTTGCAGTCCAACATTTCTGAAGGATGCTGTATTACAGAAGGTGATGCTAGAATCTGTATTTACATGTTGGGGGAAGATTTGTGAAGGACATGATATTCTCCAAAATAGTTCACAATAAACCTAGAGCGCAGGTTGTGTCACAAGTATATGTGAGTCAATGTCATGGATTCAATCACATATCAAGGATCAACCCTAGCTTAGGAGGAAAAAAATTCAGATCCCCTGTATTATTTTCTGATATCTGATGCATGGTTGGAGAATCCACTGTAATTCCAGATCAAAATGAATGAGGTTTGTTTCTTTTTGGCTCTAAGCATCTATTTCTCTCTCTTTCTTCCAATCACCTTTTGCACAAAGGAGTTGTCCTACTTCTGTAAAGCAAGTTATTGCTATTTGCCTGGGTACCAAAACTGAGAGCATTAGTCTGTAACAAACTTTCAGTGAAATGTTAGCTTGACTGTTCATTTGGATTCCCTATATCATCTGGTAAAAAGCCCTACAGTGTCTAATCCAGTGTTTCTCAGCCTTATCAACTTTAAGATGTGTGGACTTCAACTCCCAGAATTCCCCAGCCAGCATGGCTGGCTGGGGAATTCTGGGAGTTGAAGTCCATACATCTTAAAGTTGACAAGGTTGAGAAATACTGGTCTAATCTAAGGCATTTTGCAAGCTTTTTTGGGGGGGAGGGTTCCTTTGTACAGAGGGCATACATAACTTGCCAGCTTTACATAAAAAAATAAAATCCCTTTTCTAAGTCAGGTAAATATTTGTAAGAGTTATACTCCCTCCCATAAGATAAAATGATTGTTAATATATTTTTCCCCATCTTCCCCATTGCCTGAATAAAAACAATGTGCTTCCAACTTGGCTATGATATATAATTTTTATATTATTTATTTTTAATACATAGAGACAGACATCTATAGATTTAGATACCTGTATATACAAACTTAGAGTTGTATGCAAAAGCCTAGCAATGTCTACATGATACAAACTTAAACATTACATCTTTCTGCAAATGTGAACACATACTTAAAAGTTATGTTCAATGGTTTACAGTGTTTCAGTGCACATGGCAGATGCAGAAATGTGGATACCCTTTGAGTCAAATGTTTCCAGTGGCCAGTTAAAAATCTTTCTAGTCTTGCTTTTTGAGTTTTTTTTCCCACTCTTCCTTGCAGAACTCTTCTGCTCAAAAATATTCTTGGATCTTCTTTTGCACACTTTATAGTTGAGATCTCCAGAGATTACCAATAATATTCAAATCTGGGAACTGTGAAGGGTATTCAAAAAGGGTGTTGTCCTTCCTATTAATAGTTAAGCTCCATCCGTAGATGCCTTTGAGAAGGAAGAGGAGCTTTTGTGATCCTGCGCATATCTACTGTACTACGCAAAATTAGTGTGAATTCAGCCATTATGTTTTCTAAACCATGATTTATGACTTAGGGTGTTACACAAACCCACTCACTTGTCTACTCAAATCATAGTTAAGCATGGCATGGTCTAAGCATGATGTAAGAACCCCCTCCCCCATTTAAACAATAAGCGCAATAATAACAAAATTCCCCATTTAGGATAGGATTTATTTTTTTTTAAGTGGATTAAGTTTAAGAACTGCAAGTGACACAAGTTCTGTCCAAAAGTTGCTCCTCTCTGTTTTCTGATTCTTCAAATTTAACCCCTTTGGGTAGAAGTTTTATTTGGCAATTCTATCTTGTTGGGCAGTAAAATGGTAAACATGGCAAGAACCTTTGTAAGCCAAATACCGCGTCTTCAAGACAAGGGCACGCCATCCCAAGATCACCAAGGAAGTCAAGAGACATGAATAAGCAGCAATTTCTGAATGAAAACATGTTGCTCATCTACATTCAGAACATTTATGATTACGAAGCTCTGTGTCATGTTTGCTGCTCTCCAGGGACGTTCATCTTTCCCCTCGATAACTCATCATAAGCCAAGTTTAAATTTGCAGATGTGAACATTCTCTGGCAGCTGTTTTCGGGGAGGGGGAGAGACCAGCCAGGCAGCCAGCTGAGTAACCACGTGAGGGCTCTCTTTAGTCAAGAAAGGAAATGCAAGAATATTCCACAGTGCAGGAGAACCAATATGGAAACCAGATTTTCCTGTCAGGCTCCAAGCCTTCAATCTCTGTTTCTGTGATTAAAAAGATGTCATCAGTTTGCTAATTTCTCAGCAACAAACCCCAGGCAAAAGGGCACAATGGTCCCATCTAGGGTTACCCATTTTTTTTTAATAAAGCAGGAGTCTGGTAGCACTTTTCCAACTCACACATTTTATGAAAAGATACAAGCTGGGGTGAGCCACAGCCTTTAACAAAATGTGTTGGTCGGAAAAGGCGCTACCGGACTCGTGATGTTTTGCTGCCATAGGCTTCACACGGCTCTCCTACAGCATTCACAATTTTTTACAGAATTCGATGCTTCTGTGTCTTTTAAAGATTACTTAATAGGGAGGCTGACAAATATAGTGTGGGGTAGTGGTCAAGGGGTTGAAGTGTTGAATGTGGGGTACTGGGGAGACCCAGGTTCTGGTACTCCTCTCAGCCATGGAGGCCTCTGGGGGACTTTGGACCAGCCCCTCTCCGTCATCCTGAGCGCGACTGTGATGTAGGGGCTGGCTAAGGTGTTGGACTAGGAGTGGGGAGATGAGGTTCAAGCTAAATTTCAGGGGGGGGAAATCACCCTGCTCTTGAGGTTTAGGGGTGGAGATAATGATTACATGACCTACTTGGGGTGCCAGTTGGTGGTCCTTAGTCAAAGGTCACCAGGGATGGCAGTGACCATTTTCAATACTTCCTGGCATCATCCTCGACCCTCTTGTCCCGGATTTAAAAAAAAAAAAGCAGTGGTTGAATCAATTCGGTGCCCGTACGATGAGTTAGAAAAGCTTCCCTTCTCTGCCCCGTTTCCACCCCTAACATGGCCACAAGGGGGTGATGTGTAAAATGAGCAGTAAAGCTCAGAGAAACGCCATGTTTGCAGGGCACTTTCTCAGCCATGGCGGGCAGGCATGTGACGCCGCATGAGTCATGATATCAAGTCATGCCAGTTGTGTGAATGAACATCCTAACATAGTGTAGGTGATGCTGGTGGTTGGTTCTTCCACCCTGCCTGACCTTGACCCAGGACTGTTTGAAGTTAAAATAGAGCCTTCCTACTGCCACAGCTGGATGAGTTATGGTCCTAGCACCAGCTGCTGAGATACACATGTTGCATGAACAGGGTCAACTTAAATTCATACACTCCACTAACTTGTATGATGGTTTGCTTGGTTTGGGCTTAGTATCTTGAATGAAGCTAGCCATTCTGGTTTGTAGGACATGCCACCTTTATGTCCTGGCCAGGGGCATCCCCAGCGGAGGGGGCAGTGTCAGAAGACCAGACGGCAGTTGTGTGATGAAAGACCTGCCCCTTTTTTAGGTGCACTACCAAATATTTTAACCCACATGCGCATGCACACACACACACACACACACACACCATTTTTGCTGGAGGTTTATTTTCTTTCAATCAATGTATATATGTCTGCAAGCGGTGGAAAGGAGAAAAAAATACAGGGGAATGGATTATAGTTCAGCAAGAAAAACATAATTAAACAGTCAAATTGATCAGAATCTACTAGCTAGGGGAAAAGGAAGGGGAGGGAAAAATGAACTACTGAAAGTTCCTCTTTATGGTGTGTGTGTGTGTTTCAATATCTCACTTTTCTGTATCTATACCAGGGTTTTTCAAACTTGGCAACTTTAAGATGTGTGGACTTCAACTCCCAGAATTCCCCAGTCTGCTGGGAGTTGAATTCCACACACTTTAGATCAAACACTGATCTGAAGTTTGAAAACCCCTGATCTATACTCTTTATTCTTTACTATCCGCTTGAAGAACATAAAGTGACCATATTTACAATAAAGTTTCATTTTGTTAAGTTGATCAGGGCCTAAGAAGTAATGCTATGTCTTTAATGTTATATAGAATATTAAGTTAGTAAGTGATCGTGTTGATTTCTGACTTCTGGAAATCCATCCACTTAGATATTTGGAAATCAACCTGCTGATAAAAATCACAATTCTTCCTCCCTTCCTCCTTTCCTCCCTTCCAGAATTTCAGTCCCACTTAAAATCTTCTCGGCATGAATGACCTTGACTTCTGCCTCACCAATTTTGTTAGATCCAAGCCAAAGAGAACTGATGGTTGCGTAGCAACTTAGCAAATTGGATCACATGCTCAAGCCACAAAAGAGACTTATGCAAAGATGAGCAGAAAGTGCAGTGTTCAGGAGTATGAATAGTCAAAATCCCCAAACCCACACAGCCTTCTTCTTTTTTTATTTTTATTTTTTTCAGCGGGGTTGTCATCTGTACAGGCAGACTTTAGATGTGCAGAACTCTGGTACAATTGAACAGTGGCAAACAGAGCTTCAAGCAAAGAGGCTGCATGTGGTAAGAAGCGACTAACTTTCCAAGCTCTATAAATAGTTCTGCAGCATAATGTGTGATCTCTTCCTATCTGATGTTGGCAGGGAAAATATGCTTTAAATGAGGATCTCAGGCAGTCACAAGATTTGCAAAAGGCAGCCCACTTCAGATTTTAAAAGTATGGAACATGAGAGTTGCTAGGGGAAAGCAGGAAGTGATTTCTGAAAAAAAAAGAAAAAGAAGCTCAAATGGATATCCTAGAGAACTAAACTTAAGTAAGAATGCTGTGTCTTCCCTGAAAGGGAGGGAAGCTCTTTAGCAGAATTGGGGGGGGGGGGGGGAAATGTTCCTGCAAGTACTGATGTTGTAGTTTTGCAAACATAGCAGTTTCAGTTCATTTAATAAACCATGGTTAAACAAACAATTCACTGATGTGTGAATCCAGGCTGGAGTGGAATCCCTGTTCACTGCCATGAACTAATACTTAATCAGCCAGGAAGCTGACTTGAGCTCCAGAAAGAAAACGGGGATATAAACTCATGCAAAACAAGTAGGAACCAGTGGTTGGCAGGAGAATATAACAGCACCCCAAAATAGTTCTGCTTCGATATGGTCAAATGACTAATCGATAAAGTCTACTACTAGTACCCAAAATAGTTGTTCCAACAAATTTGACCCAGGTTATCTCACCCCTATTGCTTGTCATCTATTCTGTCTCACTGCATGCAGGCAGGCATTTCAAAGCCGTTGCAAAAAGTAATGAATGATACAACACAAGTGGTAAGTTTTCAGAGTGTTGAAATTGCTTGGACAATTTCTTCTACTGGCTGCATACAGGTTATTGGGACAGTGGAGTCCTTGGGGTTCTCTGAGCTTGGTTGTTTTCTTGCGAACGTTTCATTACCCGGCTAGGGAACATCTTCAGCTCTAGCGCTGAAGAAGATGTTCCCTAGCCGGGTAATGAAACTTTTTTAAGAAAACAACCAAGCTCAGAGAACCCCAAGGACTCCACAGTTCAGCCCTGAGCATATTGTCTTCTACTGGGACAGACTGGCAAAATCCGTGGGTAGAATAGTGGTCATTCGGCTTACACCCTGGATAACTTTTGTACTTCATGCGACGGCCTCATTTTTGCAATCGGTCTCTGAAGGCAAACGTTCAGAGAAACATTGCATATCGCTCATGCGTCTTTTGCCTCAGGAGCTCCCTCCTCCAGCAGGACAGATTTTTCTAGCTCTTTTTGAGGTCCTCTTGGCATATTGCTCCGTTTGGGATACACTGTCAGGAAGAGCAATCTCCTGCTGGAAAAAGACACAGTTTCAGAGGCCAAATTTTGCCCAGAAATGACTCATCTAGCAACTCAACTTATGCATGGTGTTAAACCAGGTTTGCTAACAGCCACAACGGGTTGAGCTAGACACATAATGCTATGCCATTAGATTTTGGTAAATAAATAATGCCTGGGTGGTGAACTGTAATGACTGAGTTAATACAAATAAAACTTAAGGTGACTTAGTGCGTTCCCAGCATTTGTACTGTACAAAAAAACCCCAAAGGCACTCAGTTCAAGCCAGGATGAAGTCACATGCATCATGATCTCATTGCACAAGTGACATAAATGGCATAATTTACAATCAGGCCACAATGCACATGGAGACTCATGCAAAGGCTTTTAACACTAGGAAAAGTGGCTTGCATGGACAGCATGATTCAAACTTAAATAAAAACTTAGTTCTTCTGCCTTCATATATTTCAAATGGTTCCTCCATTTCCCCGTCAACTTTTTAATTACCTCAAAAGTTCACTTAACTAACGACCTGTCAAATTGCTATTTAAAAGTGGGTAAAATTCCAAACTATAAATTGGTTTAATAAATAAATAAAATAAATAAAGACCATCGCTAATACATAGGGTCAAGATGCCATCTGCCCAGTATACTGCTGCCATTGTGCAGATTTAGAAAATAGTAAATAAGTAAGTAAATACATAAATACTTTTTTTTAACAACATAGGCCTCCCATTTTCAGATATCTCCTCAGTGCAAAAGTATCCATAGATTTTAGTTTGTTCATCAAATAGTTCCTGGAAATTCTGTGTTAATAAATACTACACATTAGGAAATTCTGGGCTAATTTTCCAAGCACTTATGGCGATGGGAACTCTCTAAAAGAGAACCTGAACCTAGGTTTCCCCAGGCTTAGTCCTACGCCCCAATCCCAGCACCACAAGGCTCTTTTGCTCTTAAGTCAAAGGCAATGTTCGCCTAACATTATGACTTAGGTCATAAACAATGGTTTACAAGTCACAACAGTTTGGTGAAAACCAAGCAAGCCTATTATGTCTGTTTGCTGACTTAAACTGGGTCATCACATTAAGCCATGCAATGTTGGTCTTGGCACTGCACATTGTGTCAACCCAGCAGTTGTGATTTATTGCCATTTTCGTCACTTTGAGTGAAGTATGAACCCAGGCAATTGAAATCAATCAACAAAGGTCAACATCCCCTGTGATAGGCTATCCCAGCCAATAAAGATGAAACAATTTGGTCACTCCAGAAACAAATATGCAATCATTTGAACATCCCCATGGGCTGAACTTAACATTACACGTTTCTCTCTCCTACCTGACAGTCATTCCATCTGGCTACTGAATGACTTTCACTTTAGCTAGCTGTACGTTCAGTTGAGTGTTAAGAATGGAAGCCAGAGTTTGATTTTCTCTCTTTTCCTTTTCCCTCCTGACCCTTTCTCCTTGGTGGTTGTGCTTTTAGACTGTCAGCCTGGGGGCATGCTCATCATCTTCCTATTCATTCCTTTATTCAGTGTTAGCCCCCTGCACGTGGTCAAGTCTTGGCAGATTAAAGTTGAGCATTTGTAATAAAATGTCTGTGTATAATCTAACAAAGCAAAAGGTCCAAAAGTTAAGATCCCCTAGTCATATCAAAACATCTAAGTTCTAATCAGAAAGACAAGAAAGAAAGAAAGAAATAGATGGCCATGGTTAGATGACACAACCCCTCTTGAACAATTGTTTTTAATGATTTCCCAAAACCGAGTAAAGTAGGGGCTGCTCAAATTTCATGGGAGAGAGTGTTTCAAAACATCAGCCCCATCACATTGAAGCATCTGTTATTTATAAGTGCTGTGGGGAGGACTTTTCACTTAAAAGCGTGTGTTAAAATGTTTTAAATAAATAAATAATTGGTCAGTGCCTGCTCCAGCATGAAAGCATGCCACATAATTACCTAACTTTCTGTGTTGATTAAGAAATGCAGTATATTGAGACAGGTAACCTGGTGCCCTCCCACCAGATATCTGAACTACATTTCCCATCCATCTTGTTGACTGGTGCCACTAGATGTGCTTTGGCAACACCAGAGTACACCAAGCTCCTTACCCTTCCAGGTTACTGGAAGAAAAGTTGGGATCGAACTGCAGAAAGTTAGTATTGCTCTGTGGAGGGAATTTTTTGAATGATACGAATCTACAAAGGTAATTAGATCTCTGGAACAACTTAACCCTGGAGGGAAGGATGGCCTCACCACTCTGAAGTGTTTTGGAGGGCTGAGAAGACCAAGCTCTCTATTAGGGTTTATGGTGAGAATAGAAGGAATAGAAGATGGCTTCTTCTTCTGCCCAAACAGTGGCATCCTGGGGAGGGGTGGGTGAGATCTGGGGGTGTCTGCAGGGTGTGGTAACAAAGTGAACTTGGCCACTGCAATGGTGCAATTGAAGCTTCATCTGTTTATTATGTGCAACCCACGCTGGCCACCATCTTGACCTTTTTGATCACATTCTGCAGGCACTCCTAGGTAAGATTGTAGGTTTTGTTTCTTTGAGGACTTATTATATGTTTCTGATTTTAAGTGGAGATTTGTAAACTGCTCTGAGCAGACCCAGCTTAGAAATCTTTGGACTAATTAATGATTGCACAGCCAGTCACTTAGCTGGATTCACGCAACATGTGAAACCTTTTGTGAAGTCCACGAGTTGGCACACAGCAGACCAGACTGAAGTGAGATGGGCTTCCAGTCTGCAGCTCAGGCTGTTGAATTAACAGTCATAGCACTACTAAGTTACTGGTCCAGAATCTCCCTGTAGACCTCCAGATTCTGGTTCACCCAGAAACTAAACATTCAGGATTTTCCCCGTCGGTTTGTTTCCCCAGTCTGTAATAGAATTGGAGAAACTGGGATTACAGGGTTTCCCCCATCAGAGGAAACTACCGGAGAATTGTAGAGTGGCCCTGCGTGCTTGAGACTCAGCAGCACATCTCTTGAGTTCAACGCGGCTTGTTTCCAAATAAAAGCGAGGATCTTCAGCCGCGGGGCCGCCGGATTTTTAACCCCAGTGATCTAAGGGAGCCTCGTCAAAGAAAAACGCCTCGGCGGCGGACTCCGAGAAGGCTGCGGCTCCGGGCAGGGCAGCGCCTCTAAGTTTCCGAAGTTGGCAACTCTCGGGGAGGGCCGCGCTCTCGCTAGCGAGGGGTCTCGGCGCACTGTGGCGAGGCGAGGACGCTCCGGGCCGCCCGGCTGCCCACAAAGGCTCGGGAGTCGGGACACGGCAGGGCGCTGTTCCAGGAGACCGCCCGTCCAGACCCGCCGCGGCACCCAGTAAGGCGATGGCAAAGGCTTGGCGGGCGCTCCCTGCACTCACATCCGGGGCTGGGTTTGGCTAATGGGAAGCGTAACGAACCCGGAAAAAAGCCGCG